CCCCCCCCCCCCCCCCGTGACCCCTGCAGCCCAGCGAGTGGGACCTGACATGGCAGGGAAGAGTGGGGCAGGCAAACTCCCTGCTGCTGGGAGCTCCATGCCACCATGGCGAGGCACCCCCTTCCCACCTGGCAGCAGTGGCGGCGGTGGCACGGAGTTGTGCCTCCTGGTGCTGCCAGCTGGGCAGGGGGTGCCTTGCCATGGTGGTGGTGGCGGCATTGAGCTTCCCTGCTCTGCCCTGCTGCACCGGGTCCCGCCGGCCGGACTGCAGAGGCCCCAGGGGAGGGCAGCGGGATGGGAAGCCGTAAGCCCACAGCAGGCAGCCTCCCCCCACCCCATGCACAAATCTGGGGGACATGTCCCCCTCCCCGGGTGTGCATGCATCAATGCGGAGGCAGCCCTCCCACCCCCTGGATGAGTTGTCCACGGCTCTGTCCCGCTCCCTGCCTGGGGCAGGGCAGCTATGCATTCCAGCCGCAGGCCCCAAGCATTGCTCGGGCCAGCCCTTCCCTCCCTCCATCCCTCGCTATGAGGGCCTCAACCCCTCCTCCCTGCCAGACTTACCTGCGGGAGCAGCTCTCCAGGCTGCCTTGTGCACGTGTATGGGACACGCCAGTACCTGCCCACCCTCTCCCAGGTGCCCCCAGCCCCCTGAAGGCTGGAACTGTGCCAGCCCGTGAGGGTAAACCCATCGTTTCCTGCATTTTTCTCCTTTAAAGGAGAAAATCTGGGTTTTTCTCCTTAAAATTAAAAAAATCCATATTTTACCACATTTTTTCATGGTGAATGGAAAACCCGGATCCCTTTTAATTACTATAAAATAAAATCCAAAAGTTGTTTAAAATCATTCCAAAACCTGGTTTTGGTAACTTTTATGACATACCGAACATGATGATGTGGTTTTCTTGGCACCCACTGCAGGTGACATGCATTACTCATTCAGCCCCTTCTATCTTACCCTTCAGGATACCACACGTGTGTGTGCACGCACTGAATAATTATTAGTAATGTGCGAGATGCGTCCCTTTTTCATTGCTGTAGGCTTGCAGCAAGGAGCTAGGGAGCTGCTTCACGCTCTCCTAATTCCTCGGAAGCAATCTTTCTCGTCATGATAGTTTCGACGTAGTTTAACGTAACTCTGCTGGGTGCTCTTGCAACAAAGCCCAGGGAACTCGGTTTCTCCGCAGTGACGCACTTCAAGCTGTTTCTCCCCCTCCCTGCCCCTGCCTGTCTGCTCCATTCTTGTAAGCAGCCTGACACTTGGAGAGCAGGATACTTGTCGTTTCCATTACTTTCCTTGGTTACTAGAGCCGAGCAGACAAGCGGAGGGAGGAGAGGGAACAATATGAGACGCATGTACACAAACTGAACCACAGCTTAGAGGGCTAATTTTAGGCCCCTGAACCTAAAAGTAGGCAGGTTAACTCTCAGTTCAAATTGTTTGCCTGTTTCTCCTTTATTTTGAGGAGTGTTTTAGAGAACAGATCTAAAAAAAAAATTAAGATATTTAGAAATAAAGCACTCTACTGGGTTTTTTTGTTTTGTTTTTTGCTTTTGCAGAAGTTGACTTTAAGAACCCGTTTAATTATGCAGCAGAGATTTTATCAGTATCAAGGCAGTTTTGTAAGGAGTCCAAAAAGAATAAATTGGGATTTTTTTTTCCCTGAAAATATAATTGCTTGAAAGCCTCCAGTCAACCAGCTTGAAATAATTGCGAAAAAATTGTGGGGAAAGCTCAGATGCAGAGAGAGCGCATATGCGCGCACGTTCATATGTGTGCATGTGTGTGTATGTGCACACATTAGGAAGCGTAAAATTTTCCTTCAAAGCAATGGTACAGCCTTTCCAGTTTTCTCACCATGTTCAAGGTCCCCACCATACTTCCCAGTCCATGCTTAGCCATCAGCTGCTGGGGTCCCTCCACCCCTGGCTGCTGCAGGATGACATGATGAACAGTGCTACTTCATAATTAAACTGATAATGATTGCAGCATTTTAGTCAGGTTTTTTGTAGCCTTTTCCACAAATAAAACCCTTCTTTGCTACTGGGCTTGCTGCTTCTGAAAGGGAATACACAGAAACAAAGATGAAGACAAACAAGCGCTGGTTTATTCGGGGCAAAGACCGCCATGTTTATATCCCAGGTGCTAGCTTGAACTCAAAGATTACACGGATCGCCAGTGTGTAGTGCGGGGCTACCCAGTGTTTATTGTTGGTAGACTACTGTGCAATGCGAAAAATAAAATTGTAGGCTGCCACTAACTAATTTCAGCAGTAAGGTAAGAGGGGGGAAAGAGATGGATGCTAATAGTCGACACAGGAAGATATCCTTATACTCTCAAATTGTTTTGGGTGCAGTTGATGGCCAAATGGTATTTTCCTCCCCCATTTATTGGGAGTCAGGGGCCCATGAAACTGATTTTTCTCTCTGATGGTCTCTCTAATCTATTGGTTTGGAGTTGTGGTCCCCAGGCTCCCATGTGCCTGTCATGTGAAGCTTGAAAATTGTGATATTAGGATATTTTAAAAAAAAAGCCTGTTTTGAAATTGTATTGTTTTAAATGTACCTGTGTCTAGAAAAACGGATTTAATAGGACTTGTCCTAAGTTCTGGAAATCCTTAGAGGGAAAAATAATAAATGCATAATAACATCAAGTTTTAATTGTACTTTTTTTGTCTGGTATTTATCAAGTTTCTCAGGCATGACAGACTTCTTTCTGGGGTAGGAAGTTTGAATATTGATTCTTCTTTTTTTCTCTATATACTAAAATAAATAATCCGGCATAGTTGACTGTAAGGTACTGAATAGTGAGCTCTAATGAGGTCTTAAATCATAGGAGTCTGACCAAAATTCAACCTATTGGTAACCACACAATGATTTTCTTTTAGAGCTCTGTGATAAAAAGCAGATGAATTATATGTATAATTTCTACTGAAATAAGATTTTTTTAAAAATCCATAGTATATTATGATAAAAAGTAACAGGTTTTGATGTGGAGAATGCAAATAATTTTAGAGATTAATTTTAATATATTTGGTTATTATCAAGTAACTGTAAACGGTGCATTCATATTCATGTTAAAATGATATGTGATTGTTAAGTGGCGTTTGCTTTTGTAACATCCAGTCCACAGTAATCTGTTAGTATGCCTGGGACAGTAATGCTGCTTTAAAGAAACAGAAAATTAGGGCAGTAAGTGATTGAGACAGTAGCACGTTAACATGATAAATTGTTGGAGTGCTGCCTTCTCAAACTCTGGCACTTTGCCATGAAAATAGAGGGATTAATTTACATCAGCCAGGACTCCTGGTATGACCATATTAGAAAAAACCGGAGACTCCACCTCCTGTTTTACTATTTATCTGCCAGGACCTTTGTGACTCAAGTGCACTTTACTGTAGTAGCAAATGTTACATAAGACCAAACATGGAGCCTGTTTGGAGTTTGTGGGCAGATCCAAACTGTGAGGCAAGGCTGTAGAGGAGCAAGTGTGCAATGAAGCACAATCAATTTTAGGTGAATGGGAGTTAACAAGAAGGCTTTCCAGCACAGCCCTTCTGTTTGCACAGGGCTGAAAGCTCTGGGTAACTTTCCTTGTGCAGTTTTCAGAGGCAGGAACTGGCAAAGAGCCCAGATCTGCATGGAGTTTGCAGAAGGTTGGTATAGTTCTGTACTAACGCCACATGAAACTAAAAGACTTCTACTTTGTGATTTTGCTACGCTTGTTTATACTCAGCCAGAGGTGGAGTTGAACAGTGCTGCAGATCGTGTAGATGGCCCTTGCAGAGTTAGTTGATCAAAGTGGATAATCGCAAAATGAGGGATTAACTGCTGCAAGCGGCCCACATAAGCCATTCTGAAATGTCATTTGAGTGATTTGGCCAAAGTTCAAAAGCAGATGGGAGTTGAGTTTGCTATTAACTCAAACAAAACGCTGAGGTTTGCACTAAGCCATCTCTGTGTCTTGAAATACAGCCGTTCTTTTCAAAATGTGCTGCAGAAAAGTATGATTGTTTATTATGGAGTTGATGTCTAAAATTGGAGCTAACATTTTTATAAAGTTTTAACTGTCTGGGTCTTTTATCTTGTTTGTGGTAACTGTGGTTTCTTGAAACAGGAAGTGCTGCAAACAGTATAATCTGTTTAAAAGCTGTTTCCCTGCAGAAACTTGAAATCCAAAAACAAATTAAAGAACCAGTGTTAATGGGGAAGGGAGGGAAGCAGTAGCAGTTAAATCCTTTAAAGTAGATTGTAATGCTGTCACTTTTCTATCCAGTCAGTCTCATTTTATCAAATTATTAACTAAGGAATAAGCTAGTAAGAACATGTTCGTTTGAACTGTTTTCCTAGTGGCACCCAGCTGGGTAATTTTATCTGATGCATTCTCTTTTATAGACCGGAGCCTTTGTTTATAGTGGTCAGGATGATCGTTTTGTTGTTCACCGTGGGCTGAAATGTGGCAGTAAATTGTCAGCCTGAAAGTGCTTTGAATCCAACTGCATTTGTGTGCTAAGAGCATTAACTAAAGCGTTAATTTTTAGTTGCAGGCTGACATGTTCTAGCTGCACCACCGCTGGGCTCTTTTCAAATGAAATTGAAAATGGTCGAATTCTTTGGCTTTGAAAAGTGGGAGTTGTGTGAGCACCGTAATTGCCGCATGCTTGCTTCTTGTCATTGTTTGGTGATATCGGTGACTTCAGTGTACCACCCCCCTCGCTGTAAATTTTTAGGCAGTATGTGTCGTTAAACATATCCTGCAAAATCCTGGCACGTTACGTCGTAACTGCTCTGAGAGAGCTCCAGCATTAATGGAATAATTCTGATGGGTCTTTTTCTATGGTTAATAAAATGTTAGTGCCATAAAGTCATCAAACCAGTATAAACTAGCGTTAAGGCTCTGCCTTAAAGCAACAACAACAGAATAATTTGCTTCTGCTCTGTTGTGCCTAGGTTTTGTTGTGTGAATATTATATTCTGAGATACAGACTCTCAAAGGGAAGTTAAAGTTCTGAAACTTTAAAAAGTTACTGTAATTCATCTTTCCTTCCCTTGCAGAAATCCCCATTATGTTAAAGCTTGGAAAAACTGGAAAGCTTGAAGATTGTAGAGTATTACCCAAACAGTTTAAAATCTCATCCTGTATTTCTGTCACCTTTTAGTTTTACCTGATGTGGTCACTTTGATTTTGCAGTTTTTTGTAACTTGTACCTATATGCCTTAACACTTAGCATTTATTTAGTGGTCTGCCTAGCTCGGTATCTCAGCCCTGAGAGGGACCGAAGCCAGATGCTTTACGGCGTGCTGCCCAAAAAGACACCCCAGGCCAAAAAACCCGTAGCCTTCCAGAGAGACTCTGAAATCCCACTGTCAGCAATCGTCTTATGTCCTGAAGTAAAAATGTTTATATCCTTTAATTTTCATAACAGGTGAACTGATTATTCTAATTGTCCAGATGAATGTGTTGGCTTTTCTTTTTTTTAATCCTACAATCCTTTCAGTTTTTCAGCCAGGCTCAGTGATACCTTGTGGCAATGAGTTCCACAGGTCAGTTATGTACTATGTAAAAAATAAGATGTAATTATTATTTTTTGTTCACAGTGGATATCCCATTGCTCTTTCTTTTCTTAGACAGCACTTAGCAGGGCCGGCTTTCCCAGCTTATGTTCTCTGTTATCTTTTTTTACAGTCCTGTGGTGAGTCTTTTTATTCATGTCCCCTCAGAAGTAAATTATCGTACTCCTCTTTTATTTTCCTTTTTATGTAGATATCGTTCTGTCCCTGTAATATATATTTTTTCACTCTTTACCATTAATTTGGGTATCTTAGCAGCTGAGTTACAAACCATATGTATATTTAGGTTCACTTAGTGATTTTTAATAGCTCTCAAACTGCATGGTTTTTATAGCAGAATACATCACACGTATCGGGCACTTTCTAAGAATTATGGTTTTTTGGTAGCTATAGGCAGCACCAGGCTTGTGAACTAGGAAAGTTTAAAGAATGGCATGGCAGGCACCATGTAAATGGGTGCAGAAACAGGGTGGAAGCTGGATAGGTATTTGAGTCATCTGAGACAATACTTTTTCGTCAAGGAAGAATGATATTTGGAGGATGGGCATTTAGGTGACCTAAGTAGTGGGTAAGTTATGTATGTATTAATGTAATGAATATGATGTGCCAATATTTTATAGTACTGGTATGAAAAAAAAAATCTTGCAACTCACATTGTCATTTCCAGCATGCTGATGTAAGTTCATTTTAGCAGAGGATGTGCCAGAGGTGTGAAGTCAGAAATGAAGTTGTTCAGATAACCTTCATTCTCTATTTCCATGCTTTCCAACAGTTCGTTTCTTGTAAAAACTCCCATTATAATTTCTGGAACGACGTTATTGGTTTTGCTTTGGCTTTTTTATTCATTTATTTGTTTCAGAAAACTATAAATGTCCCTTTAAGGCTGTTTGGTTTAAGTGTGCAAGACTTTTCACAAACATTTTTTAAAGGGGTGAACCTTCTTGCCCTTTGCACATAGTTGAGGTATTATCCTGTTTCCTATTGCTGCTGTGTATTAATGCTGTTCAAAGGACAGATGTGATTATGCAAAATTTGTTCTGAATAGCACATTTTTGTGTAAGCAACAACACGGTTTATATGGTGCCTGTTATTGTAATCGGACCATGTGGATATTGTAATGTCCTCAACAGGCTATGCAGAGATTAGCATTCGTATACTCTGATGCGGACATTGTAATCTCTGCATGGCCCGATTACAATCGGAGACACTGCTATCTTTCCGTAATAACTTTGCAGTATTTGTATTCCAGGGCTTGACGGATTTACAAAACTTCTCCTAACCTAAAGGGCTGGGGCAGTTCCCTAGTGAGAAATCCATCTGTCCTCCCATCCTTTTTCAAACTGCTGGAGAAAGGGTGCTCGACTCCCTTCCTGGGAGCAATCCGGAGGAATGACATCTCTGGCATCTGCCTCTACCTAGAAGAGGCTTAATAAATTTGAAGACCCCTTCTTATCCTCCTGCTGCTGAAAAGGAAGGACTTTTGCTCCTGATTATCCCTGTCCCTTGCCCTCCATTTTGTAGTGATTCTGCTTCATGAATAATTCAAGCCCCTGCCTCTATCAATTTTCCCACATGGTTCTTAACATTTTCCCTGCTTACCCACAAGATTGTGAATAGCTGGAATGAACCTGACCGGGGTGTTACTAATTTCAGTCCGCTACCGGGTTGGGAGCGCTATAAGCAGAAGCAGACGTAACAAAGCTGTCTTTTGGCAGACCTGGGAAAACCATGTTGTACCAGTATCTGGTTTTAAGGTTACTTTACAGGGAGGACTTGAAAAAATGTTTTAAAGGGAGATCTTAAATCCTGCAAAAATTGATTACTGAGCTACCCCTGCACTCTGTTCACCCGGGATTTGAATGGATTAGTAATAAATGCAGAAAATTGAAAAACTAGCGTTAGGGGTGGATGCATGGAGAACAAGAGAGACGAAACAGCAGAAGTGGGTAGTAAGTGAGGGTTACTTCATTTAAAGACTTCTTTACTATTGTCATATTTCTGCTGCATGCTTAATAACACTTTTTCATAATCCATTCATGGGTTTCCTTTCCTCCTACAGTAATTTTTCTTTTGTAATCTGGCTTTTGTTTCCTGTTGCGCTGCTGGTTTCAATAAAGATGCAGTCATACCTGCTGAGTTAGTATATGTGAAATATCAAAGATTTCAGGTTGTTACGTTGTTCTAATAGCTCTCTTAGAGTGCCTAACTAAACTGAACTCTAATAGCATGCTCCCAGATTTGAGAGAAAGGGGTCATTTAATTTACATTTTTAAATATGGTTGAGGCAGAATTGCAAAAATCTGTATCTTAAAACTTAATGCTGACGATACTTGCTTTCTTACTGTGCTCTTCCTTTCTGGCCTCCCCCTACTTTCTTCCTCCCTACCCCCTTTGGTTTCAGTAAAGGCACTTTCTCTCACACGTGCAGACATTTCAGCTGTTTAAGTCAAGTACTCACCAAAAACCAACGTAAAAGAAGGATTTGATTAGATTAAGATAGATTGTTATTCTTACGTTCACCCTTTAAAAATCAAGTAGCATACCAAATGCTGGTGAATCTATCACTGATTTCCTAATCTGAACTTTTTTATCAGGTTTTTTAGAGTATACGGCTAATTCCTAATGGAATGGCTTATGCTTACAGATGCATGGCTCTTGGTGTGTCATTCCCATTTTGCAGTCCCTCCACATTTCACATTGATATATTTTTTTGAACTGTACTGAATTTGATGTTTATGACTGTGGTCCAGCATATTTAACCAGTATGATCAGAAAAGGCTGTTTTTTTTAATTTTGTTTGTTCTGGTTATAAAAAGAGATGTAAAAAAATTACACAGCTTGTACTTTACACATCTCGGACAATTTACTTGCTATTCTCCAGAGCTGCTACTCGGTGAGAATTTTAAAATCAGTTTGAAGAAAACAGATTTACTGACGCAGTTAATACAAGTCTTTTGGAGTGGGAGGTATCTCATCATAGTGTATGTGCAGGGCCTTGCACAGTTGGGGCCTGATCACTGCATGGTGCCTCTCAGCATTTTATTATACGGAGAAATAATTGGCAACATAAATAAGTACAGAGTTAGAGCCAAGGGGTTCTGGGCTGCATGATATCTCTTCTCTGCCACTGACTTCCTCTGTGGCCTTAGGCAAGTTATTTCATCTCTAGACAAAAGTTGCCATATAAGCAAGTAGAAATAATGACACTTGACTCATGTAGTTCACAGGGGATTTACAAGGGTAAGTCCTGTGAGTGAATTCTAATGTAAATTTAGGGAAACAGCTGATGTTTAAACAAACACAATATAAAAGCAAACATTTTCTGCTAACAAGAAGAAATCATCACTGTAGCAGGCACCTGGCAGGAACTGCTACTTTGAAGTTGCAGATCTTTTCATGTTTTTATAATCTTCCTAAAAACATATTTTTTTGGACTGGAATCTTTCCTTCTCCACAGCTTAAAAGTGATTATTCTGAACAGAAAATTTAAAAACAAACAAACAAAAAAAGTCCACAATTTTGAGTAGTGCATGAAGAGTTTTTTAAGCTAAAAGTGGTGAGGGACGGTGAAGAGTCAGTGTTCTCAGCATTAACTTTTGGGGTACCAATTTTTACATGGATGATGAAAGCTTTTTTTTTAAATAAATAAAACCATTTCTTTCTCCCTAATTATTATCTTTTAGTAGGCAAATTATTTT